ATTGATCCTGAGATACTGCTAGTCAACGATCCACGCGACATACTTGCTTGATCGCCGAAAACAGCAATAAAGTTCGACATGGTGATCACACCGGAAATCACACCGAGATCATAACCAAATAGAAAACCACCAATGGCAGCAAATACTGCTGTACCATAAACTTGATAATCTGCTCGCGATAACATTTGAAGGTGTATCGACAGTTATAACTTCAGTTGCAATGAAAAGTGCAGTGATCAAGTTGACTTTGTTTTCAATTCTTTGTTTAAGGCAGTGATAGGATGTCGATAGTCAATGCATGGCATTGATTTCAATGTGAAACGTACAGCGAAAATGAGTAACATGACTCTCTACTGATAATCATTTGATTGACCTTCAATCGAATTAAAATAGAATTCATATTTATTTTGAGTAATTATCTTATCGAACAATGTTTCATGCAAATAATTCAAGATACAGAAATTGGTTTTAATTTTGAGAAGGAGGGTGTTTAACTTTCTCTTCCACGGAATCAAACGGGCGGAAAAAATTGCCATCGAGTTAACCGATAAAGTTCACATTGCAATGTAAAATAGCCAATGATATTTCTCAATTTGCTTTGGGTATATTAGTCTGTATGCTGGGGCTATAAGTGGATCGACTGTGCACCAATACAGGCAACATTCTATTCTCTACACCCACCTTCACACCCTACCTATGATAACTATTGAAACAGTTTCCAATAGTGTCGTGATATCGATAACAGTAAACTGGTGCGAAGACAAACGCCATGTCGTTAATCTGACTACCAAGGATGCACGTCGTACCATATATTTATGAGAGTTTAATACTCGACTTCAGTTATTTTTTTAATCCTGAACTATAAGAAAACAAGTAAACGAAACAAGAGCAGTTATTTAGATACCGTCTGATGATTATGAAATAGACGAATGATTCTTATTTTTAATAATTTAAGTGTCTTTAAATGCCATCCAAAGAGAAAAAAGCATTCAATATTTTACATTCTCAATTTTTTTCGTGCGTGTTTACCATGACTCATAAATCGTCTGAGAGATCTTTTGCTTTCTGTTCCTATACTACCGAATGATCACGTGTTACATATCTGCATTGCAACATAGACGAAAATATAGTTGTTTTTTTTTTATATTGTATTTGAATTGAGAAATACTTTCTTTTTTTCGCAATTTTTACAGCCACGTTTAATGGCAACACTTCCACCGGAACTTTGGCAACAAATCTTCTTATTCCTTCCTTCGTTAGAAGACCTTGCTCAAACATCGGCTGTTTGCAGTCTATTTCGTAATTTAATTCTGAAGAAATGGTTTTTAAAAGAATATTCAACAAGGCAACGCTTTCGTTTTATGGACAATTTACAAATTTGGTTTAAATTCACTGAACGAAACAATCTTTATAAAAATTTTGTATCTGCTGACCAAACGATCCGAAGCAGATCAGCTGAAACTTGTCCTGAAGTTCAAAATGTATTTTATACCGACAAGGATTTCTTCTATCATTTACCTTGTTTGAGGCATAGCAACTCGAGGATATCGGTGCATTATGAATTAGCAGCAAATGATTTTACTCAATGGACTTTCTCATTCTGGATAATTATGTGCAGTTCTGATCACTTGAAAAAGCTGGCTATGGAGTTTTCTTTTGAAAATGACACAACGTTACAACTCGAACTCGATTTTCACACTGGCAGTGTAGTGATTACGAATACCATCGAGAAATTTATCGAACAAGACTGTACTCAACTTGAATTAGACAAATGGATTCATTTTACGCTTGTCCTTGAATGTAAAGTTAATGAAAATATTCAAGTTTTTCTCAATGGAAATAGAGTTATTGATTATCCATGTAGAGATTCTCCTTTGCTGCGCCACTCACTAAGAAGATGGAATTTGCGTAGTTGGTATTATTTTGGTTGTCTCGCTGATTTCTGTCTATGGACAAAAAAGTTAGCTAATTATGAGATTCGTGCTATCGCTGAACAGAAAACCAGTATTGATCTAGTTGACACAACAAAAAGTGTGTTTGGTCATACAATACAGTACTAGATTCGTGCATTTATTCCATGCTTATCTATTCCTTCTTCATGATGAATTTGCTTGGTTCAGAAAATCGAACATATCACGACAGTAAAATGAATTGTTCTTACTGTTAAACTTTTATTAAAATAAATGAGAAAGCACACGCTAGTTTTTAAGACAGATTTTCACAACAAATACTTGGCTTTGATTCAACAGCTCTTGGTCTAAGAATGTAAATCTGCACATTTTTTGGTACATCGATGTTTTCGACTACGAATAAGAAGACCATATGGCACAATTGATGCTCTGCGATCTGTCTTCCATTCGATTTGATCATCGGGTATAATCTGACATACATTTTTCTTATATCCTGCTTGTTTGATGATTCCTTCGGGATTTTGTTTACACTCCAGCACGATTTGAACATCATACCACTCATTGTTCATTTTTACAACATCGGTTGGACATATATGTCTTAGGGAAGCATAGTGAATAGATGGTGACGTGTAAACATGCGTTTTATCCGGTAAATGTGTACTGAATGTTTCACCACTTAACAGTTTGTCACCAGGCATAGGTACGTAAAGGTTGCGCATAACCAATTCGACTTTATCACTTGATGTCCCATAGAAAGCTGTGTACCATCGTTTAAATAAATTGCGATTAGCTATTACGGTGCTGTCGACTCGAAGACCAAAACGTGTCCAACCTCTCGGAACAGTATAGATAGATTGAGCCACTGTGAATCGATCAGGTTTTGTACTGGGATAGCAATATGAACAAAAGCACAGATTATGAGCAAAATCAAAATAAAGTTTGTCCAGACGAAGAATTCTTTTAGAATATTGTGTATGTAGATTTTGTGGACATAAATCAGATAATGGAAATGCTTCTGATCCTGGAGCAATATCACCTGGGTTCGGCGTACGTGGTGGATGGTGACTCGGTTTTGGTGTAGGCGGTGGATGGTGGCTCGGTTTTGGCGTAGGCGGTGGATGGTGACTCGGTTTTGGCGTAGGCGGTGGATGGTGACTCGGTTTTGGTGTAGGCGGTGGATGGTGACTCGGTTTTGGTGTAGGCAGTGGACGGTGACTCGGTTTTGGTGTAGGCGGTGGATGGTGACTCGGTTTTGGTGTAGGCGGTGGATGGTGACTCGGTTTTGGTGTAGGCAGTGGACGGTGACGATCTAGTTTCGGTGTAACATGCTTCAGTATTGGTAACTCATTTTTAACCACAACATTAGGATTCAGTGGTGGTGAAGGTGTTGCCGACTTTCCAGGTGCTATGTGTAAAATCAAATCGTGATGGTTTTTTTTAATGAGAAACGATAAAAGACTTTGATCACGCGATTAGATTATGTTAAATTAGCATACCTTTTGAGCGTCTATCTCTGTTTTTTTTTCTCCATTTTGAAGCGCAAACGCAAAGTATGATGATCAAAACGATGCCAGCAATACATCCAATAACGATTCCAGCAACTTCTGCTGTACTCAAAGACCGAGAGCTTCCTTTAAAAAATCAATGAAATATACATAAATGATACCCTATTAACTCTATGATCTACCCTGTTGACTCTGTGATGTAGTAGGAAGAAGAGAAGAATTTGTTATTACAGACATTCTTAGCGAATGACTTAACGTCTTTTTGTTGGCTATTTGTTGAAAAGCAATTTTTTTTTAGTTCTGCTTTGACGAGAAGAAAGGAGCGTTACTGCGATACACTTGCCATAAACATTATAGAACAGAAAAAAAGGTAAAATCAGAAGTGCATAAATATTACTCACATACGAAAGCAAATAAGTCGCATGTTGGAAGTTTCACACTGTTTCAAGATATTATTTTATTGAGGCATAACCGATGCCCCGTCGCTGTAGCAATTGCCATCGCGAAACGCCTCCTACTCAGCTAAGATCTTGTCCACACTGCAGAAAAGAATTCACTACATCTTTGCGTGCGTCGCCGTCGACAATTCCATTTGCAAAACACGATCGAAGTCCTCGAATTTCGTTAGGACATATCCGTCCACGAGCATCATCATCAGCAGCAGCACATAGAATAACTCCGCGGGAAAATGACACTCCTGTTTCATGCCAGTATAAAAAAGTCTGTGCAGAATATTTATCGTCATTGAGATGGGATAAAAGTTTTTTTGATCGTCAACATAACCGTTGTTACTGCGAAAACTGTTATTCTAGCTCACGCGAAGATACCACTGTTCAAGGTGGTTCAAAATATGTTCTTCCGCGTGGTTGGTGTCGATTTGGTCTACATGTTGATCAAGTTCGCGCTGACATTGATCGTATTTGGAGTAAATGGATCGTAACCTATCACGGAACACGTCCGATGGCCGCTCAATCGATCATTCAGCACCGTCAATTTCTCTTACCCGGTGACACTTGTATAGATGGTACAAAAGTTGCCATACTGCCCGACCATATTCCCGGAAAAAATCATATTTACACGTCTCCAACGATCGCGTATTCAAGTTATGAAGCTTACTGTCCTCCACAACGCTTTCATTCACAACAAACTGGTAAAACCTACGATGCACGCCTTGTTCTTCAATGCCGTCAACAACCGGGATCATACAAAGTACAAGGTGAAACAATCAATGCTGGCTCGAAGCGACTGTGCCCATTTATACCGAATGATCAAATTGAAATCTTTACGGAAGTAAGAGCAGCAGTAGTGCCCTATGGTGTGTTAATTCATTTAACTGAAGTTTGATCTGCTTTCAAAGTGAAATGATAGAATGACAGTTGATTTATTTCAGATACAAATAGACACGTCATTTACGGTGCTATGTGATTTATTTGGTTCGATAAAGTTTTTAAAAAAGAAGAATGATGAATAATCTTCAAGGATTATCAACATACGTATTAGTATTGGTCCGAGAAATTAAATTTTTAGGGTTTCGAGTAATTAATTAGTGAGTAGACGACATCAGCTTATTCACTTTCCCGATAACACATTGACTAATCGATGTCATGAGTCATATGATAAAAAAAATCTTCAAAGAAGAAAAGGATAAAAGAAATTGTTCTTCTTTTATCAAAACTTTCAATCTCGAAGAATACAGTCATGGTATGTACACGTTATTGCATCACATGAGTCATTCAACTCGAATATTATTCGTTCTGGATATGAATTTTCAGAATAGCTACTACGTTTATTATTATTTCTAAAGAAAAATATTTGATCGGTTTTGATGGACTACCTATAGTTCAGATTGTTATCCACCTAATTGAAAATTTCGTTCAAAAGTGATGTGACTTTTCTCTTGGATTTATCAAAAGTGTTGATATATTATTGATAAAACGTATATTGAAAGACTCATACATAAAAAAACATATCTAAGTATTGGTAACATTATATGAAGGAGAAGTAAAGAGTCGAATATGTGTTGTCTAGAATCCGATTACAATTTCATGACAACCGACCAAGGAGAATGCATTCGCTAAATTTATTGGGCATAAAATTGAAAATCAGAATGATCAGTTGGGATACTTAATTGAATAAAATCATCGATATTGATTGAATTATCAGATCAGGGATTAAACTGGTACGCATCCTGATTTTGTATTCAGATGATTGACTTATTTGACGCAAGCTTTCATTTAATACCCATTACTTATGTTTTTTCTCTTTTCAGGTAGCATTTCCTTAGGGAAAAACAAACCTTGCGAAGTGTTTCTCGTCAATGTTGTATGCTACAAAAACGCGAATGAAGTGTGATCGCTACGAAAATATGGTTACCAAAGTGATCGACAAGGCTGGCAAAGCGTTTTTCGTCACGAAACAAAATCACATCAATACGTTTTAAACAAGGTAAAATTTTCATCGAAAGACACACCGTAATAAGAAACAACATTTACTTTTAGTCTCTCCTCTTTACTTACATGATTTATTAATAAGAAACAACGAAAACCATGGGAGAGACAAACAGTCCTTTCATATTTTTTAGTTGCGTTTTTCTTCAATAACAAGTGTAGATATGGCAAAAGACAAATGGTTTCGTTCGATAGAATCGACGTTCTATGATGCCTTAGAATACCACGCAGTACCTGAATGGATCATCGAACCGATGCCGCCTAGGGTGAACACTCGTCGAGACGCTTTAGATGGACAGAAAGAACGATGGCCATTTCGAACACATAATGCTAAAGGAAAGTGAGTTTGAATTGTATTTTGACCATTTTCTGACTTATTTTCCGCGAAAAAATAGATTCACCTGTCCTCGGTGCAAGAAAGTGTGGAAGTCGTCTTTTACGACTGTCGTTTGGAGAGCTCGGAGAAATACAAATGTTATTCAAGTTCGTATAGAAAAACAAGCTTGTCAAGGGTGTAACATTTACTGTCAAGGGTCTCTTGTTGATATTGAGAGTTTAGCATGGACGGCATACTGGATGTGTACTTGGATACTAGATGTTTTCTACGGTATACGTGATGAAAACGCGAATAAGCGTGCAGATAAACCGGAGGAAATTGATGAATCAACTGCACCACATGATTATGGACGCTGTGAAGCTGGTAGAAAGGGTATATGCAGAAAATGCAATAGACATTCGCAAGAACATTAGAGATCATCAAGTCGATAGTCGACTCCAAGTTGAAATTGATTTAATTCACACTATTTTGATTTTAATTAATTAAAATTTGTATTCTTAAATCGCACAAAAAGAAAAACACTATGATTAAATGATATCCTAAATGAAAAGAATCCACTATATGGATCAAAAGTATTTTAGTTTGTTTGTTCAATTAATCTATTCCCAATAAACTTCATACTCGTATTTGCCGGAACCGATCCAAGCAATCATTGAGCCAGTTTTGAGCTCGAGTTCAAGATTCTGTTTGTTAAAAGTCGAGTTTCGATCCGTTAGCCAGATCAGTTCATTTCCTTCAATGATTCGAGAGCATCTAGCTTCGGAAAACAACGGCTCAAATATCACTCGAGCTCGCGTGTTTGGTGGAATATGAAGTCGAAGTCGAATCGAGTTCGGTGTTGCATCGCGAGTATATGCAACATGAATGAGACCATGTCTAGTATTCAGTTGACAGTCAACTTTAGGTAGAAGATGTTTGTTGCTTTCAGTTACCAAACGTGGATGAATGACAATGGAATCTGTGTCAAAATCAATACCTGCTAAGTGAGAGTAGAACCAAGCACCAACACTTCCAAACATAATATGATCGCGCGAGTTCATTTGCGGTCCTTCGAAAGGTGTATTCCAAAGTTCCCAAAGAGTTGTAGCATTTTCATAAGGATTGTTGAACATATAACCATACGATGGATAGGTAGTGGATGTTATCAGTCGAAGTGCGAGATCATGATAGCCGTTGTCTGATAACAATGGATACAAAAAGGCAGTGCCGAGAATTCCTGTTGAAACATGGATATCTTTTTGGTTGATATCTGATACTAGACGGTCTAGGACAAAATGACGAACATTGTTTGGCACTACGTTGGGTAGAGCGAGAGCAAATATCTGTGCAGTTTGTGAACCGTCATCGTAGAAATTCGATGTGCGATTGAAAAAGACTTGATGAAATTCTTCGGCTAATCGTTGATATAATGCCAAATACACAGCTGTATCGTTTGTATTATGAATAACTTGAGATATATTGACTAACAACGACACATCATGTAGAAAAGCAAATGATGAAGCGAGAGATCCATTCACTCTTGGCTCTGGCGGAGGAGGCACCCAATCACTATATGAATAGAAAAGGCCTGCTAAGCCGGTTGATTTATAAGCCGTATGAACACTTTCAACGTAAGTGCGAATATTAGTGTAGAAATTATACAGAACTTCAGGATCGTTATAATGACGATAGACTTGCCAAGCAATAGTTGGAAAGGCACTACCCCAATTGGGATCAGCTGGATAATCACCGTCTGCAAACGGTACGGTATCAGGTACGGAACCATCAGGACCTTGGCTATCAACAATCGAATGAAGGAAATTTATGTATAATTTGATCAGATCAAAATTGTACAAAGCTTCATTCACAGTTAAAGCGGCGTCGCCCAACCACCCTCGACGTTCTTGTCGTTGCGGACTAAACAACGGAAGAGAAAAAAGAGATTTAGTTACGCTAGAAGAAGAACATTCATCTTCATTTGTATAGATTACCAATCTGTTGGTAGTGACATAAGGTTATTCAGCTGACTCCACTGAATATTATGTTGAATCTGATTGATAATTGGATTACTTGTCGTGAAATGTCCTTTCAATGTTGTTTCACTGTGAACAACGGGACATTCTACATCCCCAAGTGCCATTTCACCCTGCACATTATAAATTGACACATAGCGAAACCCATGATAGGTGAAACTAATGTGACAAAAAGAAAGGAACAGAAATCATAAGATACGTAGAAAAATGTGAACAACTAATTACGTTGGCTCATAGATTTCACCTGCTGGATCTCCACGTAATACATAGGTATCAGATTGAGTCGCACCAAGAAGATTTTCTGTGTACACCTCGCCACTGGCTTGTCTTTAAAAGAAAATGTTTGACCGAATTATAATCGTTTGACACATTCGTGTTATTTAATTACTTCGTGGTAACAGTTGGTAGAGTCAGCACTTCTCCATGACGAATATAGATGCCAACACCGCGTGGACCTCGAAGTTTTATTCGACACCAACCAGCCATATTTTGACCCATATCGAACACTTGTACTCCTATAAAAAATAATCAATTGCAATAAGAATTATCATTTTCGAACAAGATACACAGACCTATAGTTGGTGACCATGTGGCAATTGGTTTTAAGACCCCACCATCACTCAACTTACCGCCCAGAATTTGACCAAATTCGCTCGGTTTTAAATACTCGCCAATAGGTTCAGTCGAAACTTCAATATGTAACGCATCAGCTCCTGCACGAATCGGAGGCATATCTTGCATGACTAGATGACCAGGTAAGGTTTTGTTTAATGGAGATGGCATTTCGTCAGCTGGTAACCACAACGAAAGTGTGTCGTTGAATCCTATCTGCGACCAATTGGGGCGATCATAGCGACTGTCAACGAATTCTCCATTGTAAATACTATCGTGTAGAATAGCATTTTGACGCCCTATCCAAGTCGTGTCACTCCCCAGATCGAATTCGCTTCCATCTTCGAAGAAAATCTTCAAATAAAACAGAAAACGGGGTGAACCTGTAAACAGTGCCACTAAAATATCTCTACAAAAGAATGTTTACAATAACTACCATAGAGAGGTTGAGCTGGTGGCATTGGAAAAGTATTTTGCTCTCGACTATACCATCCATTCCCCAATCGAACACCAACTGCATTCATTCCCACCTGTAGATAGTGAACGAAATAATTACAATTCTATTTACAAGTAAAACTACATGTCATATTACTTTAATAATCGTGGATAGATCGAATGAAACCAATAATGTACGTTTTTCGTATACAGTCCACGCAGGATCTAATTTCCGACTCAAATCTGTTTTATTTCCGTTGACATATAATTCATAATATCCCAAACCAGATATAAAAACGACTGCCGATTGAATTGGACTTCCACCTGGCACTTGAAATTCTTTTCGAAACTCATTTCTAGGTATCATATTCGATCCTATCCACATGAATTCACTTGCTCTGTTTGCAATCGTCGTTTGAATATCAAACATAAACGTTCGGAAACGTATCCATTCGGTCCAGGCACTTGATTCGTTCGACAACGTGGTCCAAATTCGTAAACGAAGTTGGTAGAACGTCGTCGAATGCAGTTCATCGAGATTAGTATAAGAAACATGAAGTGATTGTTTTGATATTATCTGCCCACTGTCCCATTGTGTTTTGCGTGATTGAATTTGAAGTTGATAAGCTGTTTGATAGACGTTTCGATCGTCGTTGAACGCTGCGATTTTCCACGATATTTGAGGACGCGCAGTATTGATTACTAAATCTTTTGTTACATCAACTTTATAATGATCGACACGTATATCGTAAGGAGCTGCAGTTTCTTGACAAACAACAGTTCTTAGGATACAATTGATAACAAACGCATAGATATAGAACATGTGCGATAGAGAAAAAAGTGTGTGTGTGTGTGTTGGGGCGCATGTTTTTTTTTTTTTATATAAATATTACCTTCTTCGATCTTATCGTACTGCATTTCATTTCTTTTCGTAGATGAAAAACTTTGAGTATGAATATGAGAGTAGTGTAGAAATCGTTAATTCGATTCGAGTTTTAAACTTCCAAACTTCTAAATTTATAATTCGAAGTTTCGAGGCATCCGCTTACCAACTCGTAAGTGGTTGATCGTAAATCCTTGAATGACTAATTATTAACTATTATGTAACAGTTAATTATATATTTACCAACCGATTACTTATTATCAATCAACCGACTACCCAGTAATCGGCATCTGACTATTAAATACTACATAATCATTTATTAACTATAAGACTATCAGTTATCAGCCAACTACCGGTAAAGAATGCCGTTCACATTGATCCTGACTGTGCCGTTGTAGGCTGCACCCACACCCTCACCCACACCCACACCCACACCCACACCCTCAATTCATAAGTAATTCAAAGTCAAAAGGATTCAAATGGGGTGCAAAATGCGTACCCCAAAGGGTACAAGTGTTTCTGGGATACTGTACCCTCAAATGGAATACGGATGGGCATGCCTGATCCTTCGCATACTTTGTCGCAAGGAAAAAACCTACTTCATCGTTTATGGTTAATTACCAAGTTTGTTGACAAAAAAGAAAACTGGTTTTTAATTAAATTTTACGTAGAAAAAAGATTCTGTTTGCCTTTTCAATCTTTTCCATGTCTCCTATTCTAGGAAAGCGGCAACTGCTGCACAATGTATACATTCTTGCACCACAATGTATCGAACAGAAGTCAGTTTGAGAGTGAAAACGGTATGGTTCGAGACCGTATAGCCCATTATGCTCGGTTTGGAACCACCTATGGTCGAAGTTGAAAGGCGTATTTATAGAAAAATTTGAGTCTAAGCTATGCCGCATTGATTCTAACGCAAACCATCAGATTTGTCTACTAACTTCTTCAATACCGTTGTTTTCATGCTGGACACAAGGTAGAGGCACAAGATATTTTCTCGCGTTCTATCACGTTGTTTATCAGCTAAATTCACTAGAGCAGGTGATTCATCATCTTTTTTTTAGTTTTTAGCAGAACAAAAAAATCTCTCTCGGTATTCAGGAGGTTAAGGATTGATGAGTATGTTTTTTTTTGGTCGTTAAACCGCGTCTTTTTGCTTGAACGATCAAAATGAGAAATAGTTGTCCGTTAAAATTCGCAGAAAGTGGCGTTTTACACATATTGCATTCTATAGAATGCATGGATCAAATAAAATATGCGTTTGATTAGTCAAGAAGTTTCTTGTATTTGGAAGTAAAATCCTAAGTTGGTTTTTACCGAGTAAGAAAATCACAAAAAGTCTTCTTATAAAAAGTGCGTTATTTTTTCTGTTCTCATGCATGATCAAAACATTTTGTCGTCACAAACAAAAGAATAGCATGCTACAGATTTTTTTTCTCTTTTCATACATCAAAAATACAAAAATGTTTGCGTTTTCTTCAGACTCTCTCTTGCTGCGAGATTCTGCAAAAGACTATATTGAATACATTTTGTTTTAGATACATCTTTGATTGGAGGACCTTGATGGCACTTGCTCACGCATATCGATATAGAAAACACAAATCTCTTGATAAACTAATCAAATGCGATATTTGTAAGGATCCATTCATAGACCCTGTATCGACAAAATGTGCGAGTAAACAGCATACCTTTTGTCGTCGGTGTATAGAAATTCATCTGGCAACTTATGAGTATTGTCCTACGTGCAAGCAAAATGTGTCAAAAGATGATCTAACACCCAATACCAATGAACTTCTTCGAGATATATTGAACGAATTGCCAATCAAATGCTCATACTGTAAAGAAAAAAGACTAACTCGAGGTGAATTCGACACTCATTATCGCGAGATGTGTCAAGAGGTTATTGTTCAATGTTCATCAGCGAATGACAAATGTTCGTGGAAAGGGTCGCGTCGTGAACTGCAGAAACATTTGGAAAAATGTGTTTTCTACCTGTTTAGAGACCATATTGCTGAATCATATACTGCTCTACAACAAATGAACGACAAAGTAGAGAAACTAGCCGCTGACAATGTTCGTCAAAATGGTATCATAATCGAACAACAGAAACAATTACAAGATTTGCAAAATCGTTTGCAAAACTTTCAAGCCTCAATCGCCCAATTTTTAAATTACATTCAACAAACAGCGGAGAAAGTAGATGAACAGAGATATGAGGATAGACCCGCCGAATTTTACTGTGGTTCTACGCTAGAAATCCAAAGGAACCAAAAGAATCCGAATCACAGTTCTGTCAACATCGATTCGTCACTCGCAAGTGAAACTGAAGGAAAAAAATAGTACTCATGTCAAATCAAATGAACGGTAAGAGCATACAAACATTATATACGAGTTAGGATGAGAATTACAGATGCAATGGCAAACATTGGTTTTTGTTTTTGCTCCATATTTTGACACTAAGAAGTACGAGATTCTGTTGAAGATAGAGTTTTATATAAGGCAAAGTGGGGATTGTATCGAATATACATTGAACTAGCGTATATCACAATAAATCTAAATAATTTTTTAGACGATTTGGGCAATCAACAACTGAGAGATGATCGATGTACAATTCCGACTCAACCTGTAAATTCAGATCGTATTGTTTCCTCCATGTGTGCACAGATCGGTGTCGCTCGTGAAACGAATTCTGGTGAACCTATCATTGAACTACCTCATACCGACGAAAATTCCCGAGCGTCAGAGGTCCACGATATTCGCAAAACTACCTCTCCTTCTGACGCACGCATCAGACCTTTTGTAAACCCTGATATTCAGCCAACAGTTCCAGTCGACCGCCAACAGCCTATGCTTCAGCTGACTGTTCAGGGTAATTCCCACTGTGGTAATGTGAATATTAATATTGGTGAAAATACCAATGCTGGCGGTGGTGTCGACCATGGAAGTACTGTGGGATACAGATATGCTGATACAAACCCTACGGGAGGCAATGGTCAAACTGTTAATAGAAGTCGTAATCGTCTTAATAATCGTTTGCTTCCACCAATACATCACAATACTTTTGGTATAGCCGAGCACGGATCGGATGGTGATTCAGAAGCTAGTGGTTATCCTCGATCTGCCAACGATCATTTCGATCGTTCGTCGATAAACAGACATATTGTGGGTCCTTACGCATAAAATAATCGATTTCGAACGATTCTATCTCATGTTAAACTCGTTTTAAACGAAGAATCGTCTAAGCTTGGACCATATGTTCATTTTTGTAAATCTAATGATAACCAAACTATCACTCGCTATCTATAGAATAAAATTTGAAGATAAATAAGCAAAAACATACTTTACTTCCTCGCTGGTATATGAGTTATTTATATCTTTGTCGGTTTCTATGCGATTTCCATAAAAGGACATACATATGAAAGACTCCGATGACTCATGCTAGCTTCTTTTGACCATATATGGTAATACTCTACCTGTATAAAAAAACTGCTAATAAATGCGAGTTACTTCATCTCAAAGAAAGCAAATGGACGAAGAGGAACAAATGATTGATTCATTCACAACAGCTGATGAGATATCTGACGTGACCTTAATTGTAGAAGAGAAGAAGATCTTTGCTCATAAATCTATTCTCGGTAAAGGAAAAACACTGTTGAAGAACTTTCTCGTTTCATTTCACTTGTTTTTCAGCAAAAGTGTCACCTGTCTTTGGGCGAATGTTATTCTCGTCAGGATTTCGTGAATCTAAAACAAGTGAAATTAACCTTCCGGGCAAACAATATCTCCACATTGTTGAACTATTAAAATGTGTCTATCCAAATATATTGAAACCAATCGATAATGTCAATGCAACATATCTTCTTCCATTATCTGATGAATATTCAATATTGATTCTACGTAAAAATATCGAACGTTTTCTAATTTCATCAACGACCAACATCGCTTCGTATAAATACGGTGATAACCAAACGCGTCTATTTGATCTACTCGCATTAGCTCAGTTGTATCGTTTGAACAAACTTGAAGAACATATCTGTGAGCAACTAACCAGTCATTTCGATATGGGACAATGGAATAAGCCTGAACTTCCAATTGAATTACGTTGTCATCTTCTGGAATTGTTCGTACAAAAGCAACAAGCGAAATTAAAGGATAAACAAACAAAATTGAAAGAATCGGAAGATCTATGTTTGAAGCAAAAATTCGAAATTCAACGTTTGAAAAGTCAATTAGAAAGTACTGCGCAATGATAAGCGCCTTCCGGACAATCTTTTGTAATTATTTAGCTTTATCGTTCAATGAAATAATCCTACAGAGCTTAGTTATGACAAAGAAGATCGCGTATTGATTTGATGTTTTTTTTCTTAATCGTACTTCTCTCGAAAAATCGAGTCATGTTCTACTTTATTTGATAAAATTCACGAGTAAATGATGAAAAAAAATCTTTTGTTGTCATGTTTCGTCGGTGGCAAAGCAGTTAAACTGTGTAGACGATTTTCAAACATGGTAAAGCTTGCCCATACCGATAAATGATATATTCGGTCATCTGATTGTGTTTTCCAATAATCGAATGGTAATTTTTTGGCGCACAAACTAATTTTTTGTCCGGTTCATTTAGTACCATCGATTCACCCAGTAAGACTTTGTTATAATACATAACACGTGTCTTGCTAGTTTTATCAGTATAATTATGTGATTTGAGCGGATCGTCAGCGAAATACGCACCATGTCCTAAACAGAATATGAGAATAAACGTAGATGAGAGAATAGATCGAGTTTGAGTACTTACCATATAGACCTTCGGTATTGAAAAATCGGTCGTCGTACCCGTCGTCAGTGATTCCGTCGATACCATCTCCTTTCGTTCCATGAAACAATCCAGGATGCTCGCACGAAGTCGTTTTAGGACATTGTCGTTTGATTATTTTTTTCATTCCTTCGTAGATTTCTTCCAAAAATGGATTCCGTATTTCTTCGATAGATTTAACTTCTACACCTGGTATATTTCTCATTTTCTGACAAATCGCAGCGTGTAAATCAGATGATCGAGGTAATGGGACGAGAATCGCGTGATACTCCTTGTGTGGTTCTGGAATAACCGATAAACCGCCTTCCATTTGTGTCCAACCTCTATCTTTCATTTTTGCAATTCTTCTATTGAGATTATTATCGATGGGTCGAAGAGTGAGAAAACGCTTGTTTTTTATATTCTCAACAATAGCTTCCAATTCAATCGAATACGGCTTTTGAGTAGTATCAATGCGCATACCCAATTCGTGGGTGTAGTCTTTTTCCAACGATAGATTACTCACGTCGAAATCAATTCGATCTTGTGTCAATGCCACATGCGGCTCAATCAAATCCATTGTAAATGGACCGGTAGATTTATTCTCATCAAGTACCAATATATATCGCCAATTATCGTAGCAAACCGTACACGAGATGTCGTACTTATGTAATTCATCTTGAAACTTATCAATATCGAAATAAGCATGCGATGGTAGATGACAATCTAAGTC